CAATGAGAACCAGATTTCATCCCAAGAGCAATTAAATTCTCAGCAAAGCAGCTAAAACCCATCTGTCTCTTCAAGCCAGATTTCAACTATTATTCCATAATCCTGTAGCCTTATAATTACATTGATGCTCACTCTGTATATACCCAAAATACTGGCTTTATTTATTTCAGTAAAAGTTAACATAGCACAAGCATATTGTTACTAGAGCCTACAGTAAAAAGGGGTCAGAGGACTCAATCTCTTTTTTCTTTTCCTAAGATAAGTCTTGATAATACAGAGAACACTCATAGAATTTTCCTGTCTAAACCTATTTGCCCAAATGAAATTGCTTTAAAAGAAAAAAAAAACAAAAAAAAAACCAAACCACACCACAATAACTTGTTCTCTAGAGAATATTAAAGAAGCCAAAGCTAGTGGAGTATTTTCAGTTTGGAATTTTACTTCTTGCAGACTATTATGCACTAGAATATCACAGTGTCTTTAAAAAAAGCACATAACTCAGAACAATACACACAACTGTATGATCTATCCTATTCTTAATGTAAATAAGAACTTTGACTTTCCAAAAATATTCAAAGCTTCACTCTGAACAAACACATATTAAAGCCTGTGTTTCTCATGTGTCTACTTAATACAATGGACAGGAGAAAACAGAATAGCTCAAACCTTGCTACAGCAAGAGCGTGCTTCATTATGGGTTAAGCAAAGGAGCGATGAGCCTCCAGTTAAGATGCATGTTTAGGCTACATTGCTTACATGTATGTTGAACACTATCTCCAGACAAAAATTAATGAAAGCAAAAGTATAGCAAGGTTGATATGCTATAGTCCAAGTTCTCATTCCAAGAAATACGAAAAAAAAAAAATCTGTATTTCCTGCACTCTGAAGTAAAATTACTTCAGTCCTAAGCACCTATTTCAAAGATTATTGTAGAAATCAGACATTCAGTCCTTCAGATGTGTAACTACCAGACTTCTACTGAGGGAATGCTCTCTCAGCTGCTGACTGAACAGGCACAAACAAGCAAAATACTAATACAATCTCCCCCTCCAAAGAAACAGAATTCATCTATAGGAACTAAGAACTCTTAAAAATCTTGGTTTCAGCTTGGCTCTGTAAATTGGGAATTTTTTTGGTTTAATGAAGACAGTTACAATCATGAGCACAATTCAAACCTAGAGACATAGCACATGTGTAGATGCACATTAAGGTTTGTTGGGGTTTTTTTGTTTGTTTTGTTTGTTTGTTTATTTGTTTTGGGGTTGTTTTTTTTTTTCCCCTTTCTTTTTGTAATCTATTTTGTTTGCAAGGCTTTCTTGTTTTTAAATAATTGTAATCTAAGATTCATTTATAACTACTCAGTGGCAATGAAATGAAGAGACATTTTAATTATAACCCTTAACTTGGTCCCTGACCTAAAGCTAGCTAGCAACAGAATTGATGAAAGCCTGTATTTAAAAAACAAACAAACAAAAAACCCAAACAAAAAACCACAAACAAAACACAGCACAAGTTGTACCTCACATTGTTGAGCAGCTTTCTGCCATGAAACAGTAAAGCACCTAGGTGTTGAAGTAGGTAGCTGAAACACATGACATGAGCAAACAGTACAGCTGAACCTTAAATGAGAATACATATAGACAAATATTGTCCATGTTGCTAGTTTACAGAGCCATCACAACTGCTCTGCTAAGCATCAGTCTTCTCACACAGCATTGAGCAGAAATAGCATCAGTGATTTTGTGCTTAGCAGCAAAGACCAATTGTTGAAAGGAGTATAAGGAATACCAATGAAATGAATGCTTAAAAACTTGAAGGGAGTTCAATTCTTAGAATGTTAACCAATTGATTTGTTGCCTTCAAAACTGGAAATGAAACAAAAGTAGGGATAGTGATAGGATAAATTATTTTCTGTTACACATTTAGAGAATAAAAACATTTTCATCCTGACAAGGTCTCAAAAAAACACATGTCCTACTTAGCTGTAAGTCCCAATGGCATCGTCTTATGTGAGGTTATTAAGATTTGTGTAACTTTTAAACCTCCAACACTGGATTGCACATTTTCCTCCATAGCTGTTGCCTCAGTTAGCGAAGAACAGACACGCTGTCCTAAAAGAGGCCAATTTTTTTTTTTCCCCCCTATGTCCTTAAAACCAAGCTCTACTGAGACTAGCACAGATATCTGCTTTTGTTCTCCCATAATAGGAACAAGAAGATTGAGTAGCCACCAAGCTCCTTCCATTGTCTCCCTATTCTGGTTGCCATTCCAGAAGCCTAGTTAAAATCCCTTCTGCAAAAGCTGCCTTTTCAAAGATGGTCAAAACACTTCTAATCTAAGATTACCCAATAGGAGCTGCACTGCCATCTCTAGAAAAGTTTAGGAAAAGCATATCATACTTGTCAATACTAAGGATGATATGGCTTAAAACACTAACAATACAACAGCAGGATGGAAATTAAAAAAAAAAAAAAAAAGGTGAATTTTGCACTAAACACTATCAATTACTCACCATCTAATTACCTGAATTGTTATTCAGCTACATTGCTTCTACTCACCACAGCCTGATGCCATGGAAACTCCAGAACCAACTATCTGCTTTGGAGATTTCCCTGGAAATATTAATTCCAAGGGGCAGTCAGGCTGGCATCAGCTCAAGCACTCAAAATTCTTAAATATGACTCTTATAAATTGGACTTTGACACACAGATATTAACAACTTTTACCCTCACCACACTAGAGGATAGAAACAGCTTAATTTGATCATATATCTCACAGCAATCAAAACATCTGATGTGCTGACTAATCACAATAATTATTCTCAGCGTCTTCAGTTCTATTTTTTTTCTAACCTGTCTTTATACTCATTGCCTACAGAGAAAAGGGAAAACATGGAACAAAAGCTTACATTAACCTACCCAAGAAGATAATTCTTCAGAAATAATGAAAAACTGTATCAGAAATTCTTCTGTATCTTCAGATTAAAAATGATCAATGTTTAATCTTTAGGCTAAAGAAATCAAATATATCATGCTTTCTACCAAAAACAACAAGCACAGGGAGAAAAACACAAAAAAACACCACTAAAAGGCAGTTCAACAAACATTTCAGAGCTACTATTTCACCTCAAAACCCAAGCTGATTGAAAATACATTTCTGCCTTGTAAAAATAAAAGATGTATTATTGATGTTTCTCTCATTTAAGATAAAAATTCATAGTACAGTAAGCACTGTAATTCTGGAACAGCACTAACAGGATAAATATCAAAATGGTGAAAAACACAGGAGTTTTTACAGTAAGTCTTACTTACAACCTCCTCCTTTCTCCACTTCCTCAAAATCTAGTAATTTCGTTCTTCCATTAAGTCCTCTCTAAAAGCTACTTACTTTCAATAAAGGAAGAAATAAACCAAAGTAGCGAACAAAGATATCAAAAGCTTCTAATGAACCTCTGGTCCGCAGGACTTACAACCGCTTCTGTCAATCAGAACACTGATTGACTATCAATTCATACACATGCACAAATTAACGTGTAGAGGTCACATGTATAAAAAAACCTAGATACATAGTCTAAAAGCATGGGAAAGTAGTGTCTTTCATATGTTTGATAAATTACACTGTATATATCAAAAATATCTATATTTAAAATTTATGAAGGACAAAGTTCAAAAACTTCCTTTTTTCCCTGGCATGTGCATGCATGTGCCTGGGGAAAACAGTGTTTGTTTTTGCAGTGGCCTACATTAAACTTTTTTGTCCCCTATAAACATCAATAAAGCTACAAAGCTCATACCAGAAAAGTCTCAAACTGCTTTTCCAAGCTGGCCACAATTACCACGAAAAGTTAATAACCATTTCTAAACTCTTAAGCACTACATCCTAACACCATAATTTAAGACAGAAAGCAAACAATATCACAAGCAGCTGAAAACTTATCAGGAATTTGTATGTAGTTACACATAAAAATATAATTACATAGCTATGCCCAATCTTCAGGAGAAGTCTCTGCTGTTTTGCTCTTGGGCTAGAGCAGACAATCCTAATAAAATTACAAATCCAAGTCTGAGTAGGTGCCACAAACCCTGTTCAAGTCCAAAACTGGTATCTACATTACTAAATTGGTAGTGGTGACACAGTATCTAACACGCCCGAAACACATGAAGCGTGGCACACTGATTATAACAAATTTCTCTTTGTTAGAAGTTCTGATTGTTAGTATCATGTTAATAAAATCTGAGTTGCTTAATTCAAAGGACTGTTCAATAAATGAATATGAAATGAAAAGGGATGAAGGGCAGACAGACAATATTTTCCTCAAGCCCACCAAAATCCCAAGGTTGGCTCCCTGACCTCAACTGGAGGGTCCAGCACTGCACTGCAACAACTCTCCATCCATTCTTTAGACTGAATGACGTTTCTTGCAGATCAGTTTTAAGTTTAGCAATAAGAAGAAAGTTGTTATGCATCTTGTGTATCGCATTCGAGACATACAAAGAGTCCTGCTACAGTGAGCTACAGTCAGGTATCTACCTTGAAGATTCTATGCTTGAACAAACTGAGAAAGCAAAATAAACTTTGATTCAAAAGGTTCCTACACATATACAATACAGAAACAAGACAATGGAAGAAGTCAGATAGGTGATAGCTATTTTCTTGCTTTTTTACTCCTAGGTTTAGAGATTGGTAGGAGATATTTAACCTATCATTTGCAGAAATTAATTCCTTTATTCTTTGTGAGTGCTACCATGAGACTGCATAAGGACCAACCTGTTCTGTCCTGACTTGAGAATAAGGAAAAAAAGTATGGAAACAGCCTAATCAAGGTCACCTGTCCAGAAACAGGAGTTCCTAAACAAGAAGTTTCAAAAAGCTATCATGTACAGAGGAAAGAGGAAGCAATTATCAAGTAAAAAATACATTAATTCTGTTTTTAAAATAGACTTAATAAGCAATAAACTCAAAACACTATAATTATGCAAGTTATGTATATAAATACATACTATGCTGTTCATTTCTGAAGATTCATAACTTCCACATGGATGGACACTTCCAATAGGTTCCAACCCTTCTTCATCCCACATATATGTGCCATCAGAGCTGTCAGATGGAGAAAGCTCAAAAGAGGACCCAGCTCTGTAATTCATCTCTGGAGAAATCACATTCTCGCCGGTATGCTTTGTGCTTTCACTGTTGTCATCCACTGCTTAAAGAAAACAGGAATAGTCAAGATTCCAAAAACAATCCAATATGCCAGATATAAAAATTAAGATGTGTATTATTGGTGCATTAACTTTTCCGAAACTGTACTGTAACAGAAATATCTGAAAGCATTCTACAGTGTTGTTCACTCATCTTAGATGGGAAAAAAGCTCAAGCTGATTTAGCAGCTATAACTAAGTATCTTTCCAACCTGCATCTTTGCTAGCCTTTTACACTGCACTAACTCACTCATCATGAAAGCTACTTCCTAGAATTTTATATCTTTTTAACATATTAGAAGGTGGGTCCAAGATTAGATCCTTTGGATCCAATCTTTCAACTGTAACTTTTCTTAAAACAAGCATGTACTATGAGAAGCCCATCAGAGACTTGAAAACATGGCTTTTAAAAACATCTTCTGTCTCTTCCACTAATTTTTAAAGAATTAATATAGCATGTCTCTGGAAAACAAAAAAACCAGTGACATTCATATTTATAATTTAACTGATTTAATTAGGCACCCTACACTTATTCCCACCACTTAGGAGTGGTTACAGCTGTTCTTTACCTACAGAGGTGGGGTACCTACAGAGGTGGGGTGAAGGGGTGGGGGGGGGAGGGGCTGCGGCATGCAGGGAAATAAATTTTCTTAAAAGATCACCAGTCCAGAGAAATGAATGGCAAAGCAAGGGTATGAGGAATCACACAACCCTACCACAAGCATGGTTAAAGGAGGTATCATTCATTCCTATCCCAAAGAAAAAGAGCTCTTCAAAGTCATGCCTAGGGAAGATAACTATCATGCAGAAGAAGCACTGTAAGAAAATAAATGGGCCAGCATAGAGCCAAGTTTCATTCTGAAACAATTCACAAGCAATGGGTAATTATATAAAACAACTTAATTACAGTTATTAGAATCCTGATTTAGTACCTAAAATTTCAAATAGAACATAACAAAGTATTTACCAGACACGTTTATATCAAGCCAGTCATCAGCATTACAGCAAGATCCTCCACTTCCCTTGAGAGAAGTGAATGGCTCGATGGATGTTATGCTCCCGTGTTTTAATTCTTGAAGACAGCTCTCCTTTTGCTGTATTTGTATAGTTCTGTTTGGGTCTTCTATGTCTATGAAATCATCACTGAAGTCTTCACTCAAATCATTTTTTTCAGAGGATGACAAAGAAGATATAGATATTTCATCTCCATCATCGCTCATACACATGACTTTTGATCCTTGTTTTCCCATACTTTCATGCAGGCCCTCATCAGATTCTGTTCTTTGAGCATTGCTCTCTATAATACTGTTTTTCTCAATTGCTCTATTTATATTTGTTGAAATTTCAGAGTTCTCCACGATGCATGTGTCAGGAGTTGTACCTGTGCTGCCATCCACAATATTTCCAGCAAATCGCTGCCTGGTAGGCTTCAGCAGAGAAGGCCGACTTAATCTGTATCCAAAAGAAGGTCCTGACCCAGATCCATTTGACAGTGGGGGCTTCTTTGAACAAGGAGCTGACATACCAGAGTAGGGCCTGGTAAATCCATACTTCATAGGCTCATTTCCATTCGGTACATCCAACTGATGTGCATTTCTTGACAACAAAGTCGACCTCTGAGATGTCCTGGCAGCTAGATTTTGACTATGATAAGGCCTTGTAAGATCCACAGCTTTGTTAAAGGAATGTGACCTGGTTAAAGATGCAGTGGGAAGGAAAGAATTCTGAATGGAATGTGAAAAACTTTGTGATCTTACCATTTTTTCACAGGAAAAAGCCTTGCTACTGTCTGTGGATTGTGCCAGGCTTTCTCCTGAACTTGTCCTTGTGGCACTGGAATTAGCTCTAGGTCTCTGCAAACCTCCCACCGGCCTATTTCCATAAAATCCATTTAAATGTGATTTTGGAGCACTGAGTCCAGAATAAGAGGTCCTTCCTGACAGGGTACCTTTGGCGAATTTTGCTGAACTAGAAAGTCCAGGCAAAGACTTTGGGTTTAATTCGTCAGTAGAAGATACAAACATATTGGTTTGCTTTGCTGCTTTTGATGCAACCGAAGCAGTACTGTTCAAACCCACCCTGAGCACATCATTACCCAATGCTCCTTGAGATTGAGAATACTTCTCAGAACTGATTAATTTTTCATTACAGTTATGTTTAGAGTTGGTCTCTCTCCCATTTTGATCATTAAGTTGATATTTATTTGATTTTTTCCAGTTGAAAGAAAAGGAAGACATGCGAACAGTGCCATTGTGCTTGCCAAAATTTTTGCCACCATTATTCCCTGCTAAACTAACAGCCGTCCCATTTGGCATAGGTTGCAAGACACTTCCTAAAGCTTTCGTTCCATATTTGGGTAGCCTGGAAACCAAGGATGTCCTGATTTGACTTTTTTCTTCCATGAGCTATTGGGTACATTGGTCCTTATAGGGTGCTTGAACCTAAGGAAAAGAAAGAATATATTAGATCTGAATCAACAACACATTAATCAACATAATTTTATATACATTTGTATCTATGTTTACTACATTCCTGTGCCTAATTATAATATGATGCTACAAAGTAACTCACACAAATTTTGTGAGCTCCAGAGAAATACCCATCATCAGCAGTTATTTGGCAGCAATACGTTATTCAGGTCACACCTCCATCCCTCAACTTTCATTCTCTAGATAAACTGCCTTTTTTTTTTTCCCCCTTTCTTTTGAAATCTATAAAGTAAGCTTTGAAAAGGGTTGGGCTTTTTATTTTTCCATTTACCTATTCTGAGCAGCAAACTGAATTTTTCAACTGCGTTACAATTATTAAATTACATACTTAAGACTTTACATTTAAAAAAATCCCACAAATTGAACATAGCACAAACCTGTGGTCACCAATGTAAAACTGCAAAAACTATAATGTAAAATCTGACGAAAAGCTAATTTTTTGAAATTCTTTTCAGTTTCCCCAATGTCTATGTTATGAGATACAAAATAAACACTCATCATCCACCTTCACCACAGCATTTTTTTTTCCCAGATCTTATTGATATCCCCAATTCAAGATGAAAATTCCTAGCCATTTTTTTTCCCCTCTTTGTATGGAAACTGTAGTCTATTTTGGTCATCAACTTGTTCATGTACAAGACTTAAGGTACAGGGCAACAGTTGCATAAGGTCAGTGTTAGTAAGTGAATTCAAAAGTTTTACTTCTGCGCAGTGATACATGAACATGGTAACCCTAGCTACAAAAGTATGAGATAAACAGACGTATCTTTGCCTCAAAATTTTTTGCCTTGAGAATTCCAATCTCCTTGCTTTGATACGCTGCTTTTTGTTTCTTCCACACTCATCCACATATCCATCCTACTATTTGGACAACTAATTATGACAACTAATTATGTCTGTATCACCCTTTTGCTCAGCATTTAGTCTGTTGTTTTGCCTGGCTATACAATATGGACAACTTGCCTCAATGCTATTGTTAAAGACTTGCAGTTCAGACAATAAGACCTTGAGAAGTCTCCAAGTTTCAATATTGCATCTTAAGACAAGGTTTAGTCCAGTGTTAAAATTTGGTATTTGCAAGACCAGGTTTCTGTTTTTTCAAGACAGTTGTAAAAAGATATCTTCCTTTTGCTAGCCTGGATTTTATGTTTTCATCAGTTCCCCCTGCTGGTCTTACAATGGTGTCAGGACACAGAATTTCACTTGTTTGTATGTTATTCCCTGAAACTATTATCCACGTTTCTCTTTTCACAGACCTACACCCATCGGGCAGGACTGAAAAAACCCATGAAAATTTTTAAACCATGACGATCATGATGAGAATCAACACATAGCAAGCAACGTTATACTTATTCAAGGTACAGGAAATATCTTGTGTAACCACAGCAAGCATTAGCTTAAAGGGAGTCACTCCCCAAGTTGCAAGACCTCACCAAGAAACACCGAGATAAAATCAAATTGGCATTGAATTCATGCAAACTGAAGTACCCTTAGGATTTTGTAAATGAATAGGATGCCCCAGAGCTGTACTTCTGGAAGTAGATTTACATTAAAAAGATAGAAAGAGAACCAAACTGAGACGGTGGCTTTTTAGAGGCTCCCAACCTAGTGAAAATATCAGAATGCACATCCTACAACTGGTAGAGCGCATTTCTATTTAGAAACACACAAATCCAGAGTTTTTAAATACTAAGTGAATTCTTGTGCACCAGAGACTAATCCTTACCTAGGCATACAAAGAAGCCCACAAGTATTTCTCCCTGGCAACAGCAAAACATTTAACTCCTTATGCATAACATGTGCCCATACGTGGATTTAGGTGTCTAATGTTAGACATCTCAAAAACACTGTATGACCAACATCTTCTACCAAGAAAAGCATTCACAGCATCTCATTCATGTACCTGTACCCATAAAAAAGAAACATGCCTACAGAGTACCTGTAAACCTTGCAAATGAAAAAATCATTATGCCTTAAAATCAAATGTCAACCTCAAAGATACTTAATGTCAAACATATACAGTAAAGGCAATAAAGTACACTTTTTAAAAAAAAAACTCCATGCATAAAAAATGCCCTTTAACATCATGATGCATTCATTGACAGCAAGCATCATACTGCAGACCATCAAAACATATCCTAACTCTAACAAAAAGACTCAAGTCTTGTAAAGAAATCTTCCAAATTAAAAAAGTTGAATTAGAAAGCTGCTAATTTAGCTTTCATGCTTTATGGATAATTCCCTTTTCACATCTGTCTACCATCTCTTAGGTGACTGCAAAATTTAAATGAGGCCATTTAATGAGATTACTTTAATCCTCCACCAAGTGCTGCAAATTAAACTTGAAAAGAAGACCTTTCAGTTCTCTAGGAAGGCTGTTTGCTCATTTATCCTTAATTAGGGAAATGCTTAAAACACTTCAGATAATTAAATTAAAAGACTGCCTACAAGCAATACTTGCCTGTGTTTTGTTAGCTATGTAACTGTAACTACTGTGTTACCTTTTCAATTTTCGGTTGCATTTGGTTGAAATACAAAGCTGTCAAAAAACCCCCAAACAACAGTATTATGTTTGGCAGATGTTACTTTTCCCAGAAAATGGAAAATTTTCTCATGAAGTTCTCTTAAACATCCTTAATCTTGACATATATTTACTACTAGAAATTACATTACCCTAAAAATGAAATTCCCTTTTCAAGAAGCATAGTACCTCCAAGTTATAGTATGATTTCTGCATCCCATGAAACTCGGACTCAATACAATTTAAGTCATATTCTGCTGTATTATAAAGCAATTCAAAGTATTTTTAGACTTCTTCAATCTATGGATTTTTTTAAAACAGACATTGGGGCAAACTAGCCTTATATGCTTTGCCTTGGGAAATACATTATCTAGTGCACACAAGCCTAATCGGGGATTAAACTAATTATAAAGAGCCTAGTCTTACATAATGATCCAGGGAAAAGGAATTAAAACTTACAAACCCTCTCTGAAGTATAATCTGAATTAACTGAAAAGCTGCTACATCCTTACCTTCAAGGATATTCAAGATCCTGGTGATAAGCAAAAGGATATTCATTCTCACTCTCCTTTGTGCTTTCTGTATAGGATTACTTACACCTCAACCAGATCCTCCGATGTTACTTTCAACTAGCAAACACAACATTCGCTTTTATTTCATTCACAGTCTGTTTCAGTAACACCAGGAAGACAGTTGCCTAGGTATTCGCTTCTCAGCAAAGTTTGGTTTTGCATCTGAGACTCCACCCTACATGTTGTGGAATGATTATTACAGCAGAAGACAGCTTAAGGTTCATACATTTCAATGTTTGGGCACCTTTAAAATATTGCAATCCCTACGATCTGTGCCGTCAGAGAGCTAACAGCATTTTCAAGTTCCAAACAGATTACTACGAGTGGGACCAAATTCCCCTCCTACTGTCATAGCAGTGTGGAATAAACAGCTGCCAGATGAAACATATCTGACAGACTGGTGACAGATGAGAGCAATTCTACAGAACTATTGCTATGCCAAGAGTTTCAGATGTTCCATTTTTCTCAATTTTAAGACCACCTAAATAAGAAACAGAAATATTGAGTAGCTAACTTAAGATGCTTTTCTTAGAACAATTTCCTTCCCAACATAAAGAATTTTTTTCTTGAGGCAGAGATAAACATAAGTTTGTGTAACAGGATTGTGCTGGAAAACCAAGATAGTCAACATCTCCTTGCTGCTTCTGGATAACAGAAATGGTACTTTCCTGTAGGTCTGTAAGAAGCTGGCAGCTACAGAGGTACACAAGCTTCCTCACCTACCTGGAAATATTATGTCCGTCAGTGTTCGTATATCAGCAAACACCAATTATTAATCAGTCAATTTTTTTTTGCTATTTGGCGTGGGCAGACTGACAGAACAACTGCTATGAAGCTCTGTGAATAAATGAATTATTCATATTTCAGCCATCATGTGCTGGATGTTAGTGAAGCCAATGAAGTTTAATGACCATGTTTGCCAAGCCAGACCTTATACTCCTATTATTTGCCTTCTGCAGAATTAAGATACTATCTAATTCTACTTGTTTGGCTCAGTGACAGGTGATCTGAAGCAGCAGTTCACCAATATTCATGCATATTTATCTTGCCAACTCCACGGTGCTAAAATTTCCATGGACCTTCATTCTTTCGCCTAGAAAACAAAAGCACATTTCCACTATACAAAAAGCATGGACGGGAAGGTGAGAATGTTCCTCCTATGGTAACCTAAATTATCTCCTCTAGTGAAAAGCTTACTTGGCCACAGCATTACATTAGGGCAGAGAAAAGAACTGTTAACTACTGCCCAGGCAGTGCAGAAAATGAGTGAAGCGTGCCCTTGGGAACTGAAGACCAAATGGCAGTCAATGAATGGATGGCTTGAGGCAGGCACAATCTACTACCTTAAGTAACAATTATATCCTCTTTTCTGCACCACACTTCTAACAGGAGAGCCCTGCTGAAATCTGCGACACAAGACCAGCTCTTCAAGGTGCTATGGACATGCTTCAGGATAGCGGCTCCTAACTTCCCACTGACTTTCACGATAACTAAGACGCCCTCCACACACACAAAAAAAGATACAAACTTGACAATTTGAAAAAGATTGTAGTTTACTTCTAATTATCACCTGCTGAATCTAGATATACCACATGGCCTTTGTGAATTTAAGTGCACGTGTATTCCAACTCTGTTCACTGCGCGTGGCTTATAAAAACAACCTCTGCACACCTCTGAGCTTTAACACCGGTGTAGGGAGGTACTGAAAGACATAAGAAAAAAATCAGGGAGGCCCCTGCAACAGATGCAGCAAAAGGCTTCTTTAGCAAGTACTTAGGAACAATGTGGGATGGGTAGCATGGTTCAAGTCACTTTTTAGCTTTAAGAGGACCACGGGAGCTTAACAGAATGAAA